CGATTTTGGCTTTGGATTGAAACCGCCGGAGCAAAATCGTATAACCGTATTTCACAACAGACGTTCCAAGAACTGGTCGATTACGATTACGACGAAGTCCACCCGACCATAATCCGCCAAAGAATTGTTCGTTTATTGAACACCGTCCTGTTTGAAGAATATCTAGTAGTAGACGATCAAATTCGGCTCATTAATTTCACCTACAAAAGATTCGTTGGAACCCACACCAACGAGCAGAACAATTCCGACAACGAGGATCCAGAAGAAAATGATTCCAACGAGTATTACTCCGAAACAATCGACGCCGGAACGCAGACCGAAGGGAGTGACGAAGAAAGAAGATCCGAAAGATCAATTGAAGACGGGGATCTAATCGATTTCTTTAGTCCAGAAAACCCACACACCGACGACGAAGAAGAAATAATCTATATCGAGGAAACAATTATCAACGAAGATAGTGATACAAGCCAAACCGACGAAGAACAAGACGACGAACCCGAGCAGAGAGAAAGTCCATCTCACGAACAAGAAAACATGGCCAACGTTAACGACGTGTTGAACGCCGTGCAGCAACTGACAGTCGCGTTGACCGGACAGAATGCCAGAGCCGTGGAAAAGATGATTATTCCAATGAAGAAATTCCGTGGAGGTGATCAAGACCCAGTTGCATGGTTCAAAGACTTCGAGGTAGCCGCAGAAGCGAACGGAATCATCCCCGCAAGAAGGATTAGAATCGTGCGAGGATATTTGGAAGGACCAGCCGCTATCTGGTTTGACGAACGAGCAGCGAACAATGCCACTGCGTTAACCGACTGGACAAACAATCATCATGACGAACATGATTTCAAACATCACTTCGCGCTGAAGTTTCGGACCCATCAAAGATTAGACAAATGGCGAGACGAGTTAGAAGAGTTACAGCAAGTCAGAACCATAGACGAATATACTGATAAATTTTACGAACTGCTTCGTAAAGCAGACCCGGAGAATCATATACATGAAGAGAGCCATGTCTGTATCTACCGTCGTGGATTAAAATCAGAGTTACAAAAGTGGGTGAAAGTAAATTCAGACAGAACCCTGTTGAATACCATGGAAGTCGCCAAGAAAGCCGAGGAAGCTGAATCCGGACCGATAGCAAGATCATATCATCAAGCCAGCAATTCCCCAAACCTCCAACTTGACGAGCTAACGACTGCTCTCCGTGTACTAACCCGTAGGCTAGAACATCTGGAAACGTCACCAACCCGCCAAAATATGAGCCAGAGTGGATATCCGGCAAGAACTATCCAATATAACAGATGGCCAATAACCTGTTACAATTGTGGGCAAGAAGGACACATCAGTACTGGGTGTTCAAAATCGATTCCCACCAACAGTTACCAGCAAAATCGAGGGAACGGTTGGCGAGATCGCAATAATGCGAATAATGGGAATCCGTATCCGCAAAACAACATCAAACCAAATGCATCAAGTGGATCAGCGAACAATGGACAAATAAACAACAATACTAATACAGCATTATTGATGCAGATCC